TTAATTGGCATTTAATCGGATTAGATTAGCATAAGACCCTAATCACCCCCCCTCTAGGGTCTAACAGGGTTTAATTATTCAATTCAAAAGTAGACCTCTCGTTCATGAAATGAATCGAAAGGGGATTTTGGTTATGGTTCTGAGGGCCGGGCCGGGCCGGCCCGGATGGACAGCCCTACCCCCCGGTGCCATTAGACCCGTGTTATTACAGTAAATAGACTCCCAAATATGTGGGCCTTATACTCCCATTTCAGTGGCATTGCGCCCAAATTCTTTTAGTGGGATATTGCTAAACACTTAGGTTCAATTACGCCAAAACAAATATAAGGCCCGTATGTTAAGTGGCCCAAAAGTCTTGGTAGTACCTTTCATCAGTCAACTTAAATTTTTTTTTTTAAAAAAAATTAGAGGGGGCCACCAATGACCAACTTATGCTTCACTAAATTTGGGAAGTACCGGGAGGCACGTGCCCCTCTTGACCTCGCCGCCTGTCTCCGCCTCCGAAGACAGACGACGAAAAAAACAACTCTTCTATTTGGCTCGCGGTTGGTCCGCGAGCCAAAAGGCTTTTTTGTTTTAGACTTCAGCAGGGGACAAAGTGCTAATAAAAAATTTAGGGGATAATGAGTATCTAACTCACTAAGTCATGCAGATAACTAGTGGGCAAGCAGAATACTTATCACTTTCCTATTTACTTTTAAACAACACATCCAACATTAGGTCATTATTATTATTATTATTATTTTGATGCAATATATCCAACATTAATTAATGATCATAACTGTACATTATATACATATAATTAAATTGTTGAGACATAATTCCTCCATTTTAATTGTATCATTGTAATGCCACCGGTTCATAGATTTTTTTTTATCGCGTCCTTGGCGCATACGGGAATCGAACCCAGACCCTCACGAGGGATCGACACGGTTTTGCCACGTGATCTACTAGGCCGCCCGAAGATTTTTTTTTTTATTTATGTTTTATTTTTTCAAGTTAGCAACTTAAGGGAGTAAGATATGTTATAATTCGGGAGCAAGCGGATTAGATATATCTAACTTATTTATATTCATATCCAAAATATCACTCATCACAAGTACAAATACAAATATGGACATCAATGATAAGAAAAATGCACGCTACATATCATCAAAATTTAACTTAGGTCCACTAATCTACGTAAAAATTATTACAACTGACCGATCAAGTAATATACCTAGATGCAAATCCAAATATCTTACTTCTATTCATATTCTTGTTAGAGTGCAAATTCTATCAGAGCAACCCCATAGAACAGGGGTAATCTATCCCATTCTCTAATAGTTGAGGATTAGTTTGGAAATTTTAGTTCTATATAAGGCGCAGACCACCCCAATCCCAGTGAACATCTGTTGGGATATATGAGGATTCCCATATCATTTTGCATAGCTGGTTATAATATATTAATCTTTCTTCACGTATAACCCTCCTTTGATTTTAAAAAAAAACACCAGGCAAAAAATGTCATATGAAGTTTCTTTTTTCCAACAAACCAAGAACTTTGAAGGAGACACAGATGTTGAAAAACCTCATTTATTCTAAACGTATTAAGATCAAAGCAGCATTAATCAATCTGCAGGAAGAACAATTGAGATTTCTATGAGAACAATTCAGGGCTTGCAACAGCACATAAACATCGGATCGTCGCCGATAGGATTTCGCACGCAGTGTGCGTGTGCAGGTGGGTAGCCGTGAGCCTTGCATGGGAAATAGCAGTCTGCATCCCTATTGCACGCTGCAGGGTAAGCGGGACACGGGAGAAGCGCCTCCTCTTGCATTGAATAGCCTGTCAAATTCAGAAGAAAAATTCAAAAAATCACGAGTTAATACAGCTTTTATTTTGAAATTTTGCATATGCATGAAGTTTAGCTACTTATCGCTAGCGTCACATTTTATGGTTAATTAAATCTGTATTATAGCGTTTAGTCATTTATTACTCCTGAACTATTTCATAAGCAATTAGATACCGTCGTGCCCAAGTGAAATGATGTCGCCGTTATTTGCACATCTACTGCAAAGGATGTATGCGCAATACCTACAAGAGAATATGGGGCCTAGCAACACTGAAATATTCATGAGATCTACGAAACAAAGAGATAAGTCCGTTTAGACTTCAGGGGAAATGTTAACATACTATAAGTTCAGGGATAAAAAGTGGCTAACACTCTGGGTCAGGGGGTACAGCTACAATTACTCCTATATAAGTCAGGGGGTACAGCTACTAAGCTACAAAATCCTAAATTTTATTTACCACACACCGTGATCTCGAGTTATTTAGTTTTTTAAACTCGCGCAGGGATTTTGAGAAAATTCTGGGCAAATCTCTACTCTGACCATCAGATGATTCTAATAAGGACTTAAAAAAACTAACATGAAAAATACACTGCCAGGGAGCAAGATAGTACATATGCTAATCAAATAGAAAATGGGTGATAATAATTACACATTTCACTTAAAAGTTTTTCACAACAAGAACGTGTAATAGCAAAAAATGGTCAGAAAGAAGATACTCAGCTGCCCACGATATACTACAGAGAAAATAACACAGCGCAAGTCCTTAGAGCACTTGCAAAAGTAATAACACTAAGTTATATACTAACCCGTAGACAGCAAGAGGAAGAGGATGGAAGCAATAGCCATCACAAAATTTTTGGTTGCAGTCATCATCATCAGAGAAGAACTAAGGAATCTATTGGTAGCAAGAAAAGAAAACGAGGAGGGACTCCATTTTTAAATTTAGCTATGAGCTCTTCATATTTGGTAGGCTTTAAATGCAGCAAATTTTGTTGGATAGCAGGTTCCTAATATGTTTCCTAATTTGTTTTGGTAACAGGTTATTAGGATTCCTAATCTGTTTTGGTAACATGATTCCAAATTTATTTTGGTAACAAGTTATTAGGATTCCTAATTTGTTTTGTTTTTTGATTTAGAATTCTTAGTATGTTTATTATTTTAGGATTTCTATATATATGGAACAATTGGAAGAGAAAATTGAGAAGAAAATTGGGGATATTTGGAGCACAGAAAAGAAGTATTTTCTGAGCTATTGGTTAGGGTTTTGTTTGGAGAGAATTAGAGATTTGTTGGTGAGATTAATTGGTAAGTTTGAGTGATTTGTAATCTCAGTTTGTACTCTTCTTCTCTATTAGTGAAAAACCATATCCCCTTCTTGTCCCGTGGACGTAGGCAACTTGTCGAACCACGTTAAAATTGGTTGTTTGTGTTTGTGGCATTGATTTGATTCGTTTGGCATTCTCTCGACGTTCGTTTGATTTGATTTCTCGTAGCACGTTGGTTTGGTTGTTTGGCTTCCGCGGCGCTCAACAAATTTATGAGGATTTGCTCTTAGGAGATTAGTCCTTTATGCACTTGGTTAAATATCAAAATTATTTATTATTTTTATTTATTTTCTTATTATAAAATAAGTCAGATTCATTTTGAGCTAAAATCTATAAATATGGATTATTATATTTCACATAACTTTTATTTAAATACTTTTTTAAAAAAATATGAAATAGATTTGTGCGTAAAACTGGGATCAATATACTTTTTATACTTGCATACACAATATTTATTTTTGAAAATTATATCAAACTTCATGTAACATATTTATTTATCGGATCAAATCATCGATCTCCAATTTGTTTATCGACGACTTTTCCATCTTTGGTGACACATTTTCCCAATGTTTGCATCATCTTAAACTGGTCCTAGAACGGTTTAGGGAGAAAAATCTAACTCTCAATTGGGAGAAATTTCATTTCATGGTCAAACAAGGCATTGTCTTAGGACATGTAGTTTCCAATAGGGGAATCGAAGTGGACAAAGCTAAACTAGGATCAATATACTTTTATATACTTGCATACACAACATTATTATTATTTTTTTATATATCAAACTTCATGTAACATATTTATTTATCGGATCAAATCATCGATCTCCAATTTGTTTATCTTAGTCATTAAATATAGTGTTAAGTTTGAAAAAAAATAGAATAATATATTGTTGATGTGTTAATAAAAATATAACTAAATACTTAATATTAAGATTGTTTGTATAAACTCAGCACAAAGCACATACATTTTACAAGACTATAAGACATCTTAATTATTGATAGACTTAAATAAAAAAATAAATACCAAAGAAACTGTCAAAGATGTCAGATCATTTCTTGGTCATGCTGGTTTTTACCGACGTTTCATCAAGGATTTCAGTAAGATTGCTAAACCCTTGACCAATCTCTTAGCCAAGGATACATCATTTGTCTTCTCTCCCGACTGCCTCAAAATCTTAATTATTGATAGACTTAAATAAAAAAATAAATACCAAAGATTAATGATAACTCTAGTATAATTTTGTATGAAAAAAATCATTCTCATAAACATATTTAAAAAATTGCATGAAAATCACTTCTAAAGTACCTAATTGTTCTCAAAAAATTAAGTTTTACTATAAAATATTTTAAAAAAATTATCCTTTATTGCTTCTTTTTTATATTTAGTTGAGTTGATATCAATCTTTCTTCACCTTTATTTTTTCCTGGGCAAATTTACTGTAGTGTCTTTATTGTCTACGTCAATTGTGATGTCATGTTGGTATATCATGTTGGTTGTCAAACATTGGTTTTGATTTTGGAGCTTCGACATATTGGGTCATCTTGGTCATAGGTTGCTGACTGCTGCGTGTGGAGATTTTGGATCTAGTGGAGCTGTTTCGGATTTTGGGTTGCGTCGGATATTTGGTTACCCAGCATTTGGTCACATCGAGGATGTGAGATTTGATCTGATTGCACGTTTGGGATTCATGCCGCACTAAAGTATCTTTTGACCAAAAATGATGCTAAAGCACGGCTCATTAGATGGATTCTCCTTCTCCAAGAGTTTGACATTCAAATTCTTGACAAAAGGGGAACAGAGAACCCTGTAGCAGACCACCTCTCTCGACTCCCAAGCTGCTTCAGATTTTGGATTGTGTCGGATATTTGGTTGCCCAGCATTTGATCACATTGAGGATGTGAGATTTGATTCGATTGCACGTTTGAGATTCAGTCAGTTAGGAGCTTCTGATTTTGTTTTGAGCAGGTATGTCACATTTGACTCTCGGCAGGTGGAGAGTATTGATCAGATCATTGGGATATCGCAACGGGTGGAGGGTGATGCTACTTCATATTGGGTGAAGCTTACTTCACATACTTCAGATCATACTACATCGTTTGGGATTCTAACTGAGGTAACACAGTTTGGAGATCATTTGGATTTGAATGCAGATGATGAGTTGGTTTTGGATTCGAGTGCAGCTGGTGGACATGTTTTGGATAGTTCCCACTGAAGAAACTAGGAGTGTTCTATCCTTTTGTCATGAGCAAGCCTGTGGGGGCCACTTTGGCCTAAGAAAAACAGCTGAAAAAGTTCTCCAATCTGGCCTGTATTGGCCCACACTCTTTAAGGATTCATTCGAGTTTTGCAAAACCTGTAACCGTTGTCAGCTTTTAGGAAAGGTCACTAGAAGTTGGTTTTGGATTCGAGTGCAGCTGGTGGACATGTTTTGGATACGGCCATTGGTTCACCTCAGGTGGATGTGTTTGATTTGTTTCAGTTTGGGGCCATTGGGAACGCTATTAGTTGCAGATCCGCTGGTGATATTGATGAAGAGTTGTAAACTTTTCTATTTGATTGAGGGTCTTTGGAGGCCGTTTGGGTGAACTACATGAAGGCTTGATTCCTTGGACAAGAGGATACGTAGGAAGTCATTTATGATGCAGCCGGTTTGGTGAGTTGATACCGACATTTGGAGTTTATTCGCATTCTCGTTTGGGTTCTCGATTTGTTGTGGATTGCGTTTGTTGTCGTGGATTTGTTCCACTTCGTACTGAACGCAACAAGTGAGACGTTTGGTTGGTATTGGTGTCGGCTCAGTTTTGAGAAAACTTCGCCGATGTGGAGAATTGTTGGATAGCAGGTTCCTAATATGTTTCCTAATTTATTTTGGTAACAAGTTATTAGGATTCCTAATCAGTTTTGGTAACATGATTCCAAATTTATTTTGGTAATAGGTTATTAGGATTCCTAATTTGTTTTGTTTTTTGTTTTAGAATTCTTAGTATGTTTATTATTTTAGGATTTCTATATATATGGAACAATTGGAAGAGAGAATTGAAAAGAAAATTAGGGATATTTGGAGCACAGAAAAGAGGTATTTCCTGAGCTATTGGTTAGGGTTTTGTTTGGAGAGAATTAGAGATTTGTTGGTGAGATTAATTGGTGAGTTTGATTGATTTGTAATCTCGGTTTGTATTCTTCTTCTCTATTAGTGAAAAACTATATCCCCTTCTTGCCCCGTGGACGTAGGCAACTTTCCGAACCACGTTAAAATTGGTTGTTTGTGTTTGTGGCATTGATTTGGTTCGTTTTGTATTCTCTCGACGTTCGTTTGATTTGATTTCTCGTAGCACGTTGGTTTGGTTGTTTGGCTTCCGTAGCGCTCAACAAGTGGTATCAGAGCCCGGGCTACGTTTGGGCTATTTGGAGTAGTAGGTTGTTTTGGAGGCTCGCCTAGGACTTCGTTTGGTGATAAAGGTGAGATCTTTTTGGTAAAGACTTTATCTTTTTCAGTTTTGGATCTATTCTTCATTTGTTCCGCATTTGTTTTGGTGTTTTGAGAAAGATGATCGGGAAAAGAGTTATGGATGGTACTTTCGGCATGAAGACCGTCCAAAGTTTAAATATCCATTTTATGAAGATAGATGTGGAGAAGTTTAATGGCACAAACAATTTTGGTCTTTGAAGA